ACAGTATTTAATAAATTACACAAATATAATATTCAAAAAAACAAAAAAATTTGAGAATTAATACAGTACGAAAAGCTATTACTCAACGAATATTAAATTACGTGATATTAGATTTTATGTATATGTAGACTCGGATATATAGAACACTTGTACTTAATGCGCAGTAAGCGATATACTTTGACCAAAGTGCTCAAATTATCCTGTGAAGTTAAAAAAAAGGACCGCGATATTAATAAAGTTACAAAAACAAATATTACAACACGAATATTAATCCAGTCAAGATTAAATTTTATATACAAATATTATCATACCTGCTGAACAAAATTTTATTTAGAGATAAAAGGTAATTGACTTTGACCAAAGTGCTCAAATTATCATATGAAGTTAAAAAAAATAGGCCAGTAATATTAATAAAGTTACAAAAACACATATTACAACACGAATATTAATCCAGTTAAAATTAAATTTTATATGCAAATATTATCGAACCTGCTGAACAACTTTCACATAGAAGTGAAAGACGATTAACTTTAACCAAAGTACTCAAATTTCCTTGTGAAGTCAAAATAGTGTATCTTATTTAGTAAAGTTACAAAAAAAATTATTTCTACACGAATACGAATGAATATTAATCCAGTCAATATAAAACATTAGATATAAATAGTATCGAAACTGTTTAACATCTTTCACTTAGAGATAAATGTGATTGACTTTGATCAAAGTTCTCAAATTTCGTCATGAAATCTCTGTATTAATGTTTATAAAAAAAGATATTAAATGTACTTTTTTTTGATAAATTTTAATTTTTATAAGATTTCTTACAAGTTCAAGTATTTAAGTTTAAAAAAAATAATTTTTTTTAAAGATTATGTTAAATAATTTTATTAAAAAAAAAAAAAAAAAGAAAATACACGAATAATATAATTGTAGATCGTTTATTTATGTAATGTAAAATAAAAATATATACTAACTAAAATTAGAAAGGACTAGATTAAAATCAGTCTGAACATTTTTTGTATTAAAAAAAAATACATATTCTGGACATGAATTTTAATACATAATCTGGACATTTTCTGTATTAGAAAAATAGACAAATAATTTTAATACAAATTCTGAACATATTCTGTATTAGAAAAAAAGATTAAATTTCTTTCTGTATATATTCTAAATGTTTGAATAAGTCTGAACAGTAAGTGTAATCATTTTTTAGAACAAATAATGGTTATTTTCTGGATATTTTCTGATATACCTGAATAGATTCAGAACATTTTCGATGATATTTTCTGAATATTTATTTTTTATAGGGCTTTATTGTCCCATTTGTGAAAAATACTTCCCTATTCTCACTTTTTTAATGAACTATGAAATAACAGCATATCCTATTACTTGAGGATGATCCAAGATACAATCTAAGAACCAGCTTGATGACTTTTCCCTTTTACCTTTACAATGACCTATTGAAGAAATTGACTTAAGGGAATATAATTCAGATGGATATTAAATTGATTGGCTGTCCAATAGAAATGATTCAACAATTTAAATTTTGGTCATTGAATTATTTTGGTCATTAAATTTTTTGATTTTTGGTATTTTTGGTCATTAAATTTGGTCATTCAATATAAAAACTAAGCCACATCTAATCATGTGATATATATTTCTAAGTGTACCTATAAGCAGGGTTGGGAAATTAGTACAGTTAGTACAGCTTAGTACAGTTTAGTACAGTTAGTACACATAATAATTAATATAAAATTTAGTACAGTACAGTACAAATACAAGGTCAAAATTTGCCTAGTACATACAAATTTCCCAACCCTGCCTATAAGACATCCCACCCCCTAAAATATTACGTAATATATGTCAGTACCTTACTGTATACCGCTTAAAAACTCAGAAATATAGTTTAAATATTACAAATATGCAGACTATTTTTCTATATTAAAATTCATGCTATGTGGCTCGAAACTCGAAGAAAATATAAACCTCCTTCATTCAGGATATCGGTATTAGAGAACGACATTTGGGATTCGGGAATAAGGAATTCATGATTCGAGATAATGGCATGGTGATTTCGGGAATATGGATTCCTAAAAAAGAACATTTGTGACGGGAAATTGAACTGTGATATAGACTATAAAAAACCTTACATCTATGAGTTAAAGCATTCTCTACATAAAGCACTAATCTAAATTACCAGTTTTGTCTCAAAATTCCAAAATTAAATTGGTCACGACTTCCAAAGAGTGTATTGAAAATACAATAATAAGACAAATAATTTGTTTCAAGCATTAAAAATGTTGTTACGGTATATTTCAGGCACGCATAATATTTCAAAATGCCATCTTCCTTTTCCATATCAAATTTCTTAAACAAAACTGGTTATTTTCGAAATTAGAATTATTTAATTTCAACATTTTAGTTTTATAAATTACTAATTGGCAATCATGGTCATTATTTCTGAACTGCTAAGAATTACGAAAAATAATTTCAATTATAAGTTAAAGGTTAATTTTATTGATTTAAATTTTAATTTTTAAAAAGATCGGAAGGGATAAAAATATATAATAAAAAAAAATTAAATAATTTTAAAATTAAAAAGATATTATTATTATAATGATTTATATCTAAAGTAAGATTTATATCAAATACTTTGAATAAATTATAAAAAAATATTGTTATTTTAATATTTCTAATAAAATTATTTTATCGGAGGGGATAAAAAAAAAATTAAAAAGATCGGAGGGGATAAAAAAAAATCAAAATCAATAAATTAAATAAAAAAAAAATAAAAAGATCGGGGGATAAAAAAATATAATAAAAAAAATTAAAAAACTAAAAAAAAAAAAATTCGAGGATAAAACATCTTTTATACATTTGCTAATGAGAAAGATTCGCTGGTACTAGCCAAACCCATTCCACTTTGTACGGATCACGACCGCTTCAGCGGGATCGCAAAACGGATGGATTTCTCCCAAGGATCACGACCACTTCTATGGGATCGATAATACGAATACATTTCATAACATCGCATCGTTAAAGTAATATTGGGGGGAAAAGAGAATAACTTATTAAAATTGCCTCCACTATATTCCGCAAACAATTTCGTCGTTATAGTATGAATTTGTAACGTCCACCACCAAAAAATCACAGGCACGCCACGCGATCAAATTTACCGATCGTTTCCAAATAACGGGGGGCCAACTCAAGGTTAGCTAGCTCATTTTTTTGGCTTTTCCATCATTTGCTCTATTGAAAAGGGATTAATAATTAAACGATTGTGAGTAAACAGAAACAAAAAATATAGTCATATGCCAATTCCTCAACCAAGCCGTACTAAAACGATCACCCTTCATAAAGAACAAGATCAGTAATCCACGCAAACGAGTTGTCCTGCACTTCTGTTGAGGCAGGCCTCAGCAAAAATCGGTAACATCTCATCATTTCGTAAAACGACAAACATACGACAAATACTGATAACTAGTTTTGCTTCGACTATTCAATACATAACCGATCCCTTTTACAGTATCAGTAGACCCAAACAGCCTTCTACTCAGTCTTATCTTACCTGGTATTAAAGTACGTCAACGAAAGAAATAAATAAAAAAGTAAAGTTCAATTTTTTTCTATTGAAAATTAAAAGACGAAAAAATTCTAGAGGTTAAGGATTAAAAAAATGCTTGACTTGAAAAATTTAGAATTTAGGACGGCTCTCGGAAATCTTTCACTTTGTATTTTTAAAAAATTTTTCGCATCATGAAGTGTAGTGGAAATTGGGGAGTTTATATAATCACATAAACGATCTATGATTACGTCATAGTGAGAATCAATTTTACGCGTCGTGTCGCGTATACTATATAATACTATCTTCCCCTGCGATCTTCCCCTGCATCCCCATCGAATTTCACTTTCACGTGATCATAATAAAAATATTTGTCAATTGCGTCACACCCCTCAAATTTTCATTTTTAATATGTATTGAGAATTTTTTTCGGTAGTGAATACTATTTGTCACGCCATTATTTGTCACCGGTAAATCTAACATTATCACATGTAGTTGCATAATGCGAGCCAAAATGTCACGTGAAAGTGAATTCTGTAGGATTTCCCCAGCGTACGTAACCACCAAAAAATTACTGTCTCGTGAACATAGTAAAAATATTCATTCCAAAACCACAGTTAATTTCATAATTCCGTCCAAAAAGTCGTGTGAAAGTTTTTTTGTGGTTACGCTATTTACTGTCACGTGATCATAAAATTTTTGTCACCGGTGTCACGCCTGCTGCGTTTTCGTATTTTATTATATTTATATGCATCTGCCGGCCTGTTTTTTTTATAGCTATATTTTAATTGTTATATTATATTCTACATTTAATTTTAAACAAGTTATGACCTAATCGCGTATTACAATTTTATCGTTTTTTTATAAAAGATGCGCATTCTTTATTTTTTTTTCAGTATAACAATCTATCGGATCAGAACCATATAATGCAATATTATAAACCCAAATTTCGATAAAGGTTGCGGTCAGTTTCACGGCATTTAATATTGTATAAATCTCTTCGACGATCTAACTCTTCAATTAATTTCCCAATATTCCCAATAGCAGATAACCTAATTATAAGAAATGACATTCGCCATTATATACTACATCACCATCTAAATATCAAAGAAAAAATGACATTAATTATTTTATAAATGCCATTACACGCCACGCACTCATCAAAGAAACTTACCACTCATTTCATTCAAGTAATGTCCAAAAATCTAAAAAAAAAAAGAAATGCATTCCTTTTAGTTATTAATGCTAGCAATTATTGTAAAGGAAAGTATTATTTATAAATTAAATTACTTACATTATTTCAAATAACGAATATTATGAGTATGATCCTTCCAAGTACGTGGCATTGATTTTCGGCGTTTATATCTATATATTTCATCAACCTTGGTCTTATTTTGATTAAAGTTCGCTTGACTCCTTGAGCCCAAAGAATATTTTTTGATCATTTTTGTTCCTCAAGTAAATTAATTGTTTGTTGCGGCATATCTATAAGATTTTCAAATATATCACTCTCATTAGTATATTTTTTATCTCAAAAAACAATAGAAAGAAAGAAATAGACTAAATAAATCCATTATTAAGTTTACATTCTTAATGAACCCTTCGGAATCAACCGGACTGAATCCACCTTTAACATCTAAAGAACTTTCTTCCATGTCGTATAATTTATCGGTATCGGATTACGACCCTCAATGATCACATTACCTTGTAAAGCTTCAATTTAATTTCCTTATTAACAGATTTTTGACTACTTGTAAATGAAGCAGACAAGAATTCCCGTTCAGATGAAAAGTACTACCCATTATATAAATTTGCGAGAACTGTGTAACAAATTGATCTCTCAAACGCACGTACTTGACGATCAAGGACAAATCCTTCCAAATCGACATGGGCTGTTCAAAGAATGGTACCTCCGGGTGTTTCATAAAAACCTCGACTATTGATGCCAATAAATCGATTTTCAACGGCCAATACCGTTTCTTCGTGCGACCATATAAAAAGATCGAGAGATTCGGTTATTGTGGTGATTTACGACCTTGGTAAGTATACCATGTTTGAATGTAATACGTTCAGGTGTGTTTGGTGCTTCTTCCGGGTCTACGGTTAATTTTCACATGCCTTTTGTGGTGTTACATTAGGATCTTATAAGATACCAGCTTCATAGATATAAATAAAAGATCAAAAAAATTCGAATCAGAAATACGAAAGAGACAAAATTATATTAGCTTCCTGAATGCTTCATTATTAAGAACTTACAAATTTTCATCTGTTGACCATGGTTTTGTTTTAGTTTGAACAACTGGTACGTTCTTTTGAGCCGCATAATCTAAAAGACTTTGTCGACCATGGTAACGGGTATAAATTTCTTTTATAGGTTAATCAAAAAAAAATTTTAATTTCATTAGTTTTTTTTCTTTTGATATCAAGAAAGAGAAAATGAGTTCATTGACATAAGTGCGTCTTAAGTCCTAACTAAAATATCGTTACAATATAATTCAACAAAAAATTCAATTCTTCGAAATATTATTTTATTTATTATGATCATACCTCAATAAAAACTTTCTTGGAACCAATCTTTAAAGCTTTTTCCCTTAGCTTCTTCAAAATCTTCTTATTGACCAACATCGGCCATATGAGCAAGGACATCATATCCTTGTTCAATGAGCCAAATGAGAATGCAAGAAGTATCCAAACCACCAGAATAAGCTAGAAGAACGCGACCTTTTGACATTTTTTTTTTTTTTTTATAAATTATAAAATGTTAATGATAAATGTGATATTAAAGGAATAATGAAAGGAATGAATTTCAATTGATCAAATAATTTTCCGTATTTTATATCTTTTTTTTAGGTTTTCATTTTATGAGAAGGATAGTCGCAAATATCGATGATAATTTTTTGGCAACATCTGTGCGATAATCATGCGTGGCAATTATTCACGTGTGAAAGAAGATCTGATCTTCACGTATGTGATTACACGATTATCAACATTTGTGAAATTATTGAGATAAACGAGAAAGAAGAAAGAAATAATATTTTTATAATAATCAGGGGGCATCGTGAACTGTGAAGTAACCTCTGATAACCCGTGAAGTTACTATCAATAATTCAATGTCACGGCATTTATAGCACAATAAAAAGAATTTATTGCGGAATATTAATTACATCAGTAAAGTGTTGATAACTGAATATTTCGATAGATTGTAATTGTGAAAAGTAGAAGTAATATAATGCAATATTATGAATATATTAAAGCTTTGTCTATTATAAGAATAAATTAAATAAATTAAATAAATATATAGAAGCTTATGCATAATTCAAATTACTTACTTTATTATTCATTATTTGTAATATTTAAGCTTATATTGATTAAATATTAATAAATTTAGAATTTCAAAATAATTACCAATACTATAAATTGGTTACTAATTTTCATATCATATTCCAAAACATCATTTATTCTTTCAGAAAAATCAAGTATAATAAATATAGTATCGGGGCGCGGCATCGAATCGTATTTGAATTATTTTATTAAACCACTGTCAATGTAGCTGATTGCTAGCATAAAGCATAAAGTTAAGCAACGTGCCACCAGCTTTTCGGCATTCTTTTATTATGCTAAATGATTATCTTAATTAGCTTCAATATATGTTGATATAAAATTTCGAAATAAAGTTTTGTTTTCGATACTTTTGTCCGTGTAAAAATAAATTTCCTTCGTAATATATAGTACTAGATATACCGTACTAAATACAGTATAGAAAAATTTGGGCCCCTCTTCCTTCAGCCACCATGTGAATCTGGATATAGTGTGAATAAGTCTATAGTCATTAAAAAGTCCTCTATAACACCCAATAAAAAGAAATTGCATCATGAAACAATCACCTCAAAATTCAATTGCATCTTATTCAAATGGAAACATGCTATTTTGATATCCATGAAATCATTGATTTGAAGATCGTACGGAATATTGTATTGTAACAAAAAGATTCAAAACACTATAAATTGTTTGAAAGGATCGTAACCCGAAATTCGATCTGACCCCCGGTAGATTCGAATTAATTTCATATTCAAATCTGCATATAACCACACTCTGACGGTCTATATAAAAATACAATTAGAATTCCTACTAAATCCTGAATAAATATTTAAATTGCTTGATCTTGCTTCACTTCCTGAAAAATCCTTGATTTCACTTATTAAGAGATGAAAACAGTTGAAGCCTTGGAAGCATGTATTAAACGGGAGCTTGAAAAAGGTCTACGCTCATCAAAATCTCATAAATTGGTCAGATGATGATTTACCATTAATCAGGTTTTATATTTATCTTGCTAAAAATATTCGTCCGTATTTTAAATCTTCTGAGAATATAATAAATTCCAATCAACTGTCTGTTTACTTATACCCTCAACCTTCCCAATACCTTCAAGAATGCGGCTTCGAATTTTATTGATAGCATTGCTTCGGCTTTGTTACTTTGTGTTACAGGCTAGACCATTCTTCTCTGAACCAGATGTGCATATCACCTAGAAATTCGGATGACAAATCTACGATGGAAGACAATCCAAACCTACTCTATAGATCTCTTCGTTATATTTGTGATAATTAAACGCGTAAAAGTATACATAATAACTCTCACTGTATAAGCGATCAGCCATTATTTATAGAATTTTTTAATGCTGATTGTGAGAGGACATTTCTGATGAATTCTCCGCTTTTACAACCTCCATTCTGAATTACTGGGTTGATCTACTTCGTCAAAAGATGAAAAATTTTCGTTGATAGTAATTTCGGATTCTTCGTCATCAGCTCTTCTTTCTCTTCGCTTATATTCATTTCCAGATTTGATATCTTTCAAAAATCTTAAATTAAAATCTTCATAATCTCCACGCTTCCGTTTGTTAGTAGGTACGTCATCGCTAGTTGACTCAAATACAGATTGAAACTCTAAGCTTAGAGATCTTATCCTGTTTGTCGATGTAGTTGGTGGCTTGTAAGATGTGTAATTTATGATTTGTTTTCTTGCATTACGGACAAAGTTTCCTTAAGATGACGGAGACCTATTCCTTCAAACTCCATCATTCCTTCTTTCTAAAAATCAAAAATAAAGTTAGAAAAATATTAGCACTAGAAATAGTTCTTTGTAAAGATAACCTACCTATTGCAATTAGGTATTTTTCTCAATTATTACATATTCCATAATAGTGCCTTGTAGATTATTACAAAAGAGTTTTATTGAATTCAACATTTTTATTTCCTTAAGAAAATCATTTCATAAGAGAAACATTTCGTTACTAATACATCTTTTTTTATCCTATATGAGTTGTCGTTTATCGTAGGTAAAATGGAAGTTTGAAAAATTTTTTGGAACATGTAAAATAATGGACAAAATCATATTTTTATGTAATATTTTAAAATATAATTTTAAAGAAAAAATTTTTTTATTTTTATTTTTATTTTTATTTTTTTGGTATTAGCTTTACTCGAACCCAATATTCGAGAGTAGAATGTCAAGTGCTTTATACCGCTATACTATAGCAGCACTGACATATTTTTTAATTTAAATTTAATATAAATATCAACTGATTTTCGAATGTATCATATGATGATCACCTGATCAATTATCTGATATTATATTATCATTACGCAATAAAATTAAACATTTTTAACAACATTGCATCAATCATCAAGGCTATGGATATTATTTTTTTATATTCCTTTCTGTATTTAATAATTTGAATTTTGATCTTAAATGTGACCTGTGTTAATTAATGTCTCACTTCAAGTTCAAATATACTATCACTAGGCTTGAAAACTTCCAATATATGTTTTACCAAACTTCAAAAGTTTATTGAGAATGGGATATTAGTCACCTTACTGATTAACACGATCTTCATATGAAAATGCTGACAGACAGAGGAATAATTTGACAACAAATTTTTTAAATTGAAATGAATCAAGAGTGTGATTAATGAAGAAAAAGGAAACTGGCTAGTTTAAATTTGTAAGATGGTAAAAATAACAGCGGCTAAAACAAAAAAAAAGAATCATTTATAGATTACATATATTAAAATAAAAAAATCTGAAATTTAATATAATTCTTTTAACATTCTAATATAGTGATATATCTGTGGGATTATAACTTGAAAAACTAAGGATTATCGAGAATCATAATTCGAGAGTAAGAAAAAAGATGTGGTGGTATAGTTTTTTTTAATTAATTATTTTTTTTTTTAGGTGGAATTTATATAATTGATAGTTGGTTTATGACTAACTAAAAAGGATATTTGAATTGTTAAAGAATTTCATAATGCAGATGAAATTATTTCTCTTTTGAAGTAACATTATATTCGTAAGCAATTTTAGATCTGTCATTCTTTAAGTTATGATAACCTTACTATACCAATAAATTCTAGAAGTATTCACTAATTGCTAATGTTTTCTTCTATTAAATTTCATGATTTAGAACTAATAGACTTGCATAATTTAACACGAAGATGATAGATGCGAATGAACTAATTTTTCATGATTTAGACAGTTACAGTTGTGTTTGATAGATTATTACGACATCAAGATTCTAAGAGAAACTCTGGAATAATTGGACAAAGTTCGTATTACATTATTGATTTAAAAAAATTTAATACATAGATGATAATTTTTTTATTTTACGCGAATGATTTTTTCTAAATCGTTGACTCAAAATTAGAGTAAGTTGCACGACTACTTCCTCCTTGTTGCACTTTAGTAATTTAACAGACTAAAATTTTGTGTTTTTTAATATTAATTTTAGCGAAGTACAATGGATGATACGGGTCGCATATTATTACATAAAGAAGTTTCAGCAGATAAAGAGACAGATGTTCATTTGATACAACCCTTGTTAAATCTTTCTTGAGAACAAAAAATTGATTGAAGCATCCTATCAAGATCTCACAAGAGATTTCATTCCAACTTGAGAAATCAATATTTCAAACAAACAAGCTACATGAACTGAGGAAGAAGAAATAACTGTATCAAAAATTTGAGTAATTTCTGATACATCAAGTGATATCAACGGACTGCAAAGAACGTGCTCCCATAAAAGCTTAGATATCTCCATTCTAGAACAAAATTTTATGTTAGAAAAATCTATACCTGCCAATTATAACATGTTAATATTCATACTTGAAGGAAATGATCATTCGGTGATGATGATATTAAATTACAATCTGCTAATGTGATAATTAGTGCTCCATCAAGAATTAATGATTGTGATGAAAAAGAATCGGTATAAAAATGACTAATGAGGGAGATGGTACATTGGGAGTCATTTTATTTGCTAGACAACCTATTAGAGAACTTGTTGTATAACATGTGCCTTTTGTGGAAATGAATGGAATGATATTATTAAAACTCAAAAAGATTTGTATTTAGGCCAATTTTCAGGGTTATTTTCAAAGTTAAAGAATTGCCATGTATGAATTTTCTATTCAAAAGATCAAAGAATTGTCATCAACAAAGTAATGGATTATGTATAGAGTATTGATTCGTGTCTATATTAATGTTCTTTGGAATCGCATTTGTTGTGGGTATAGGAATAGCGAGTATGGTAGTCATATGGGCAACGGTACTAGTAGAGGTAGTTGTTGGCATCCGCAAACCATTGATATTATGATAATCGTCAATATTTGCGATTACCGCATTTATTTAATATTTTAAAAGTTCTTGTGTGACATTATCTCTATGAATCGAAGATGACATTCTTCAAATTTTCTCTCAACGTGGAACATAGTTGCATGTTAGATAATGTATCAATAGCTCGATTAGAGATACCTGAATGATCCAAGGAAGTAGCATAAGAAAGTAAGACCCTTTTGTCGTATGATCCACAAAGACTTCTACCACTTGGATTGATTAATTTTTCAAGCATATTAAAGAATAGCTTAAAATGAGCATCTTTGGAATCCATGCCTGCCCGAAGAAATTTCCAATCGTAAATCGATAGTTTTTTTCTTTCTTTCTCTTTTATAAAAAATTTGTGTCGTCGACCTAACACATTCAAAAAAAATTAATTTCGCTAATCCCCTTGCTATCGCCTACCTCAATTCCTTCCATAGTCAGCTCAGTTTTGCCATCACTGGAACCAATTCTCTCTGGTTTAACTTGTATTTGATCAGAATCCCATCGTCTTTTTAAAGAACTTGTATTAACAGAAGGCCTAGCAGTACTATTTGCGATATAGCTCATGTAATACTTATGGCAGAATTGAGAGACGTTTAATTCCCAAGGGTCAAATGTTCTGTGCGTAAGGTTTTGCATTTAGCGTCTTCCGTGAACCTTCGAAATTTCGTTTCAGACCCTTATATTTCACAAATAACATATGGCCCAAAAAGTTTTCCTTTCGGAATTTCTATTGTATTGTTGAAAGCAAATGTTGAAAGGTATGTGTGATTAGCAGGATTAATTTTGTCTAAATGTTTATAATATACGCCTAATAATATAATCAGATTATCATATGCTTAGGCTGTATGCTAGCAATTAACAGTGGTTTAATATATAGAAAAATTTTTTCCGATTCGACGCTACGCCTCCGACACCCGCCTAAAAAAAATTGATAAAAAAGCGCAGGAGGTTTTACTTTTTAAAATACTTACCCGCGCCTCAATACCGAAAAATCACATATATTTTATTAATTTTTAAATTTATTTAAATTTATTATTTTTTATTTTTTTTTTAATCTTTATTTTTTAAAACTTTTCAAGATAATTTTTGAAAACTTCGACGATTTCGATGATTGAATTGATTTTATTTTTAATTTTATCTTATCAATAATTTTTTTTTTGTTTGGGTTAGATCGCAAGATAAAGTTTTTTTTTTTTTTATTAAATTATTATTATTATTATTATTATAGGATTGCTTCAGGGCAGGCACATAGACTGATAATTTCATTTTTTTTAACTTTTGCACTATTTAGGTGGTTCTTTCGAGTTGATTTGCTTCTAAGAGTTTGGACAGCGAGATTAGATGAATATGCCACAGCTCTTCAATTTTTATTTTGACGCTTTACATTATTGAAAAATATTTTTTTTTAAAGCTAAATGTCAAATTTAATCAAAAAAAGGAATTTTAAAACGTCGAGAATAAAAAAGCAGAAAGGTAAAGAGCGTATTTTAATGAAATTATTGATACACAAGAGCAATCAACAATTTTTAGTTTTTATTTTCATATAAATTTGATAAATAAATATCTATATTACTATTTTTTGTATTTGTAAAATATAAGAAACTTTATCGTGTCTCCACATATAATATACAACTACACACAGGATCGTATTAAATAAGTTGAATAAATCTTTCTTAAATGGGCCTGAGTTAAACTGGTTAACATCGGTCTTTATTTTATTTAAACTGTACTAGCTTATATTCAGTCTATAGGCCGGCCCAACGCTGAAAATAATGCCTTAACAAGGCTTATCGTGGATTTTGAAAATAATTTTAGAAGACGAATCCATTTATCATGTTAATTTTAACAAAAAATAGATTCAGGATTCGCTGATAGGAAAGGTATTGAATTATTTGGTTATGTATATTACAAATAATTCTAGTTTGCATATTCTACTTCTGCGCTGATTCGCTAGATAAGATTTATACATTTTCGAAGTACTTATTATATCTTTATACTTTTTACTTTATGCAAATTCTTTGCATCATATATAAAAGTTTAATTATATTCTTTTTTTAATTAAATCGGGAACATATATTTTTGCTTATTTTTTTAGCTTAGAAAATATAAGGCGACTTCAAATTGCTGCTTCTGTTGGATCAAGTTTGTAAGAATAGATATTTTTTTTCTTTAATTTTTGGGGTGGGTTGGATTTTTTTCGCTTTAATTGATGATTTGGATCTTCTTTTTTACATTTGTTAGGTCTTTTTGTTTTGATCGCTTCAATTTACATCAGCAAATATATTTTTTATTTTTTACTTTTATTTTTTAAATGGGTTTGCTGTGGATAATTCTTTCAGTTTCATATTTTTATTTTTCCCGTTATTATTGTCGATATTATGTGTCCTTCATTTCGGTTTCGGTTTCGGTTTCGTCATCAGTTTCGCTTTCAGTTTCTCATTTTCGTCCTGCTGTAGGAATAAAAATAAAAAATTTTTTATTGAAGTAATACAGTGACGCATGTATTCTAAACAGGTTCATGAGATACTCTAATGATACCCGATTACACTTGGGTATTAATCCAAGTATTTCCTTGAACAATTGACGCATTAAGTGTAAACATGGGTATGAAACTTACTTGGCAATGAACATAATTTGTTATAGAAATCTCCAAGTAGGTGCATCTCCGCAAGTGATTATACCGAAATGAATACCTGCTGTAGGAATCCAATATCTAAAAAATAAAAAATAATTTTTTATTGAAGTAATTCAGTGACGCATGTATTTTAAACAGGTTCATGAGATACTCTAATGATACCCGATTGATTACACATGGGTATTAATCCAAGCAGTTCCTCGAACAATTGACGCATTAAATGTAAGCATGGGTATGAAATTTTCCTTTATAATTTAAGTTCGATATTATCGTGAAAAACTTTCTTTAGTAATATTTCGCAAATATAGTTGTCATCGTTATGGTTAAAAAAGTGGTTTAATGTATTTAACGATGTAAATATACTAGCAGAAATATATTTTTCGTTTGTTAAAGTATACCAAGAGAGTTATGATAAAATAATGAACGTACTTTCCACTTTTTTTGATTTACAAAATTTGGAAGAAAGAGTTGAAGTTGTTTCATTTTGTGAAATGTTCTTTTCAAAAGTATATATTGTGTAAATATTTTATTTAGGAAGATAAACAAGATACATAAAGTATAAAATATATATTTAGTACGCGTAGCGTAGTCATGAAGATCATGCTTTAGAAATATTAACTTTGTCAAGTGGAACTAGAGTTTGCGGTTTGCAGGGGACTTCGTCCCTCATTTAATTGATCGCGTAACATTTCAATTAAACTTTATGATAAATAAATCCAAAATTTTGAAAACATTTATATTAATAAAAAAGAAGTTTAATTTTTATTAATTAAATTGTTTTTTCTAATTTAATTTTTCTTTGCAGTTAATTTTTTTTTTAATTATTTTTATTAATTTTTATTTTTGATTTTTAGATTTAATTTTTTTTTTTCGGTTCTAGATTACATTTTTTTTTTAATTTTTTCATACGTGCAATTTTATATAAATATAAAAAAAATCGTGGATATTAATTAATAAAGAAATATTATTTAAATTTAAATTTTTTTTTAATAATTTTTTTTTAAATTGTTTTTCAACCTTATTTAATACTCTCAAATGTTTTTTATTAATTATATTATATTTATTAATTATTTATTTTTTATATTTTAAATTTTAAATTTATTTTTTAATTTAATTTTTTATTTAGTTTTTTTTAATAAGCATTATTAA